CACCTTACACTATGCAATGGAAACAGAAACTAAAAAAAACTCGCAAGTTCTAATAACGAATTTCAAAATAATGATTCTTCTAATAAGAATTGATATGAAAATATTTCCTTTTTAAAATAAATCAATTAGTGTTATTAGTTGAATGTCCATGATAGAATAAAAATTAAGTATTTCACATAAATATTTCTTTAGTACGTTTTTAACATGATGATAAATTGAAGTTGCATTCATTATTTTCAAATTATCCTTATTCTGAGCAATATTTCTGCAATTTCTTTTTCTCCAAATTCTTCAAATCTTAGATTTTGAGTAATATATTTAAATTCTTTTCGAAAAAGTTTCCTGAATAATAGAACGTCAAATGTAAATAAGAATTATACGTCACAATGAGCTAACTTTTCTTTCGCGCGGCTGAATTCAAAATGAACATCCACAAATATAATCTGTATTTTTTTCTTTAAAAAAAGACAGAAAAAAAACAATGTGTATTACATATGGTGGGCACAAAAACCCGAAATAAAATTTGAGACAGAGGCAGAAAAATTACAATCCTTCTCGAATTTTTGATTGGAAACCGAAATACCATCAACAGTGGAAAGTAAACTAGAATATCACACAGCTCCATCGTCGAATTCTGCAACATAATATAATAATATCTTTGAACTCTTATATTCTTCTTAGATTTGAGGGGAAAGTTTTACTTGATCATTGTAAGATATCAGGCTTCTAACTTGCATTAATATTGCTATCATTCTAGCAATATACATTCAAAATAGAACGAAAAAAAAAATTCTTTTAGGTTCCGTATCAATCAACAATTCTACCGACAAGAGAAAAACCAAACAAAAAACACTTTTTCCCTCTTCTCAATATGATATATTAATCTGCAAACCCAACCGAGCGTTGCAGCCAAATATTAAATTTCTGTTTGGGTTTTTTTTCAACAATGAATTTTTCGATCTCGCAGAGAATTCATGTATTATTCATATCGCCAGTAAGGTATAAAAAAAAAATTTTGATTTCTAAGATAGACTATGTTTTAAATTTATCATTGGGCTCTACGATAATCTGTTGCATTTTCAATGTTGGTCTTTGTTGTTCTCGTAAGAACAAATTCAAAATACATCGTGCTTTTTCTCCATTAAAGATGCAGAAATTTAGCATTTTAATGGAAAAATTGATATTATGATAATGAGATTTGCAATTTTTTTTATTGTCATAATTAACTGAATTTGTCGAAGTTTTCAGGTAACCGCGAATAGGTAAATATTTTACTTTCAAAAGAATACAACAACTGATAAACATAAAAATTAATAAAAAAACATTTTCCTGCGTGCAAACATTTTTAGTTTCTATGATAGTTTTTGATAAAAAACAATGGGCAATTCTTTAATAAAAAACTTCTAAACATTATTCATAATTATTTAAAGTGTATTTTTAACTTTTCTATTTTGCCTTTTAATTAAAAAAAAATTTTTTTTATGAAAAGTTAAATTTTTTTCCTATGAAAAATACACTTAACCCGAGATAACTGAACATTCTTCTAAAACTATGCTCCTCAACCTTTTTATCGTAGCGGACCGGTTAACGTTTGATAGTTTTACAGCGGCCGCTGATCATGTTGATTGCTTATATTTTAGATTGTTTTGAATTCATGATTTTATTTCAATTGTTTTTAAACATGTCCTCAAAATTATATACAATTACATGCGCGGTATTGGTGCGGTTTTAGGTTATGTTTCTCAGCTCCCGGTTAATCTCTCGCCCATAGAAAACCACTGGTTTAAGAGACTACCAGCCCTTGCCAGTTTTGCGAATTCGAAATATTTTCATGCTCTATCTCACTCAAAGAATCTTCATAACTGGTAAAATGAGTTATCCGAAAGTGATAAGCAACAACTGTATGCTGGTTACTTTTCGAGATTTGTTGTAATCGTTATCTAACAGTCGAATGTTTAGTTCCATCAAAGTAAACATTGAAGATAGTTTAAATATTAAAAAGCCCATAAAAGGTACAAACGCAGAATTTGTACTTCTGCCCATTTAAGATACACAGAATGACAAAATACGAATACAACTTGCTGCAAAAAATTCCGGATCGAATTCCGGTAAAAAGTACCGACACTCAAAGTTGTCAAAGTTTTTTACAGTAAAATTCATTTTTATCGGAACATGTTACGAAAAAACAACAAAAAAAATCAGAATAGTTTAAATATCAAAAAGCCCATAAGAGATACGACGAAATACATGAAGAACAAAAGCAGAATTTGTACTTTCTGCCCATTTAGGATACGCGGAATGACAAAATACGAATACAACTATACTGCAAAAAATTCCGGATCGAATTACGGTAAAAAGTACCGACACTCAAAGTTGTCAAAGTTTTTTACAGTAAATTCATTTTTACCGGAACATGTTATCGAACAAAAAAAAATCAGAGATATACCGTAATTTTTGCAGTGATAATTACTTTAAAATCGCTGAATTAATCGAATTAAATAAATATTACTGTAAAAATTACGGTCAGATGGATTTTACGGATGAAGCATCCAAAGTGTCGTTACTTTATACCGTAATTTTATCAGTAGTTTTTTTTTACAGTGCACAGAAACAAGGTTATTTCTGCAGACCGCACTCTTAACATCCGAAAAGAATGAAAATGATATTTTCCCCCATATTTCCATTTTTTATTTGAAAGATTATGTTTTTTTAAAGTAGCGATAGTTCATTTGAAATAAATAAGGGAAATATAAAAATATTATTCTTTTTGATTCGTTGTTTATTCGTCGATTGATTAGTTGCAGATTAACACCGATTTAAGTTTAATTATCTAGAAATAATAAACCATTTTTTAATACTTGATCTTATTACAAGTTTTACAATATTTTTCAATGTATATATTATTTTCGGATCAATTATTCAAAAGTATTTGAAGAAATATAATTAACTTTAAAGTTTTTATTGTTTTGAATTTCGCTGTTGCAAATTAAATAATAAGTTTAGAAAATAATATTAAATTTTTATTTGGTACTTTTTCAACGATAATTTTTCTTCATAAATGTATTAAAACTCATATCGTAAGAAATAAGTAAATTTTTTAATTTTTTTAAAATGAATTGTGTTTTAAATTAATCATTAAAATATACGATAGTCATATGAACTTTTTGAATATTTCGATTTGTTTTTCTTGTAAAATCAAACTCAAAATATATCATGTTTTTCTACATAAAAGATGCTCAAATGTAGCATTTTGATGGGAAGAAAATTACATTATTATAATGAGTTTTACGGTTTTTAACTATTCCTTTGTAATATCAAAATTGTCTGCACTAGTAGAAGAAAATTTGTTAGTATTTTTCTTCCAAAGGAATGTAGAAATATACTTCAAAAATAGCAAATCTTTTCTTCCTTAATATAAACATCATTAGTTACTTAAATATATTTTGAAGTAAATAACGTCTATTTTATAATTCGAGATTGTAGCTTTAACAAAAAAACAAACTTGATTAAAATATATTTTCAATTTTGTTATTGTACCGTTTGATAAAAAAATGCTTTCTAATAAAAAAATTTATCAATTTTTGGTTGAAAAATGCATTTATTAACCTTCTTTTTCCAAATGCTTATAAAATTTAACAATATGTTTTCAATCACAAAAGATTCTTATAACTTTCTAATTTATTCAACTGATTAATTTCAAATTAGTAAATATTTTTTTACGAAAAGAATACCGATAATAATAAACATTAAAATTTATGAACAAGTTCTTCCTTAGTACATCCATTTTTATTTACTGAAATGTTTTTTTTTTCAGTGATTATGTTTATTTTATGAGGGAAAATTATAAGGAATTCTTTAGTTTTTAAAAAATAATACATAATTAGGTTAAATTTATTTTCAGCTTTGTTAATATACCACTTAATTTTTTTAAAGCATATTTTAATATCTCTTTTTAATGAATAACACGTTAAGTTATTTCATTTTATTCTGTAAACATTTGATATGCTTATAAAGCTTCGCAATGTGTTATTAAACACAAAACATTTTTGATTGCTTTCTCAACTTTTGTATGAGTTAAATGTCATATTTTTAATAGAGGATGTTTTTTATAATTAAATACTGCATTAAATATTTTAACAAAAGAACAGAATTCGTAGTTGATGAAAATATATTATTAGCTTGTTATTATACCGCATCCCTCTGTTATTTTTTAATATTTGTTTTCAAAAAAAAAAAAAAANAAAAAAAAAAAAAAAAAAAAAAAAAACACAATTGATAAATCTTTTATTCTTTTTTGACAAATTATTACGCTGCTTATTAAGTTTTACAATATGTAATTTAAATTTAGTTAAAGGTATTTCTAAAAACTATGATACACCCTTAATTTCAAACTAAAAATAAAATTTTGAAACTTATCTTGCACTGTTAGAATTTTCATTCCAAAATTACGGTAAAATAATCGGCAGCAGCCTGTGAATCCAATTAACAGTAAAGTTTACGGTAAAGGAAATTTTTTACATTTGCAATATTGAAACCGTTTACAATTAAAATGGTTAAAACAATTCATATAGAACAATACGTGTTTTTGACCATTTACAACTAGAATGGTTTCAAAATCATGAAAAAGACTCTTCATGTGTTCAAGAGAAAGGAAGAATATTGTGGTGTCAAAGCTAGGACTAAAACCCCCATTTGTAAACCCTGATATAGACGGATTAGTCCTTTCGGCTATAATATATACACAGCGACAGGTAACTAACTAAGTGGCTTCATTAGCTGAGCCTAGTTGGCCCGGTAAATCTCTGTTTTTTTAACCGTTTTGGTGAAAGCAGTTAAAAAACTGCATTTCTCACAGTTAACAGTTTCAACACCATCTTATTTATGGTTATTTGAATGTTTTCTTTGAATATGGTAAAATAACAATTAAATAAATTGTTATTTAACTAATTTTTATGAGAAATTTCTAACAGTGTTTAACGAAAGTTTAACGTTTATTTTAGGGTGGCAGCGTCGAAGATGCAAATAGTCTTTTTCCTGGGGATCATAATAGTGTCATAAGAAAAGGTAAGAAGAAAATTTGTGTTTTTTTTTTATGAATTATTTTTCAGAAAAATTGTGCTTACATCACTTAAATATAACTTTATTGAAATTATAATACAAGGTCAGCTTTTAATGTAATTTGACACGAGATTAAATAGTATATTTTTTTCTCAATTGTTTTAAGTCGACTTAAAATACATCTTATTTTTTATATATACACTATATAATTTAGTTGGTATACATTAATAAGTATTGAGAAATATTTATTTTTATGTTGCAAATTTCAGTTTATTTTAATTTAGTTTATCCTTTTTTTAGTAAGTTCATCAGTTTTTTTAATTTTTAAAATAAGAGCCGAGGCGGCTCAGGGAATAGAGCTTACGCCTCCCAATGAAGTGATCCAGATTCGAACCCCAGTCGTGGCTGGTTGGTACAAACTCTGCTCCTGACTCGCACCGACCATAGTGCTGTTGTAAATTATCCTCAGTGGTTGACGGAGCATGGGCTAGAATTCCTTTGCCGTTGGGCTAACCGTGGGAGGTTTTCGTCGTTTTCCTTTCCATGTAAAGCAAATGCGGATGTGTACCATCAAAAAGTTATTACTATTAGTTCCTCCACGAAGGCAAATTCCTCCCAACGCTTGATTCAGGAGTTCCCTTGTCTTTTGGGTTGGGTTCGAAGTTACAAGGCTGCAGAATTGAATATTAAAATTCCTAAGAGGTCGGCTGTTCAGCGCCAATCATAAAATAAAACAAAATTCTTAAAATAATAGCAGATATTTATTGACCAATTTGGTTATTGTTTCTTGATCGATTTTTTTTTCTTCATAAATGTGCTTCAGTTATCATTTCATTTTATCTATGCGTACTTATTCCCAGTTTTTAAAAAAAAAATATTTGGTTGTAAGCGTTCGTAAAATTGCAAACTCACGCACTTCCAATCGTATTCCGTTTAAATGAGTCACACTTCCTCCACTCTTTTTATCCCAAGAGAACACTTTAACAAATGACATGATTTATAAAAAGAATTTTATGACCGTTCGCTTTTATGAAATTCTTTATTTATAGACACAAGAATGGAACTGCTTTTCGCATTTACCATATAGCCCACGGGGGAAATACAGAAACTTTAAAATGGCCACAAAGCGATCAGTTATGTTTGATCTTCGGTGACTTCGTAAATCGTCCTAATTCTGCCTAGAGGGAAAACAAACTGTAACTTTGACGTTGTTGTCTTCCAATGTATTTACGTGGAATTTATTTAGACATTCGTACCACGTATTTATGAATTCTACGGAGAGAAACTTTTAATGCTTTGGTTTGTTTCTAAATATATTGCCTAAACTAATACGATTTATGGCATAGATTATTCTGCCGTAAATATGCTTGATGTTTAAATTAAGGAGGAAAAAAATTTGCAAAACTGGCAGAAGATTACTTTACTAGTTAGTTTTCTTACGAAGTATTACTTTCAATACTTTTTATGTGATTGTAAACAAAGTATTTTTTCTTCGTTTTATTTAATCTAAAATAAGGTTTTTTATTTAGCAGTTAATAAACTTTCTTTATATAACAGAAAGAGTACATTTTTAAGAGGGTTTTTTAAACAGTAAATAAACTGTTTTTATTTTACAGTAACACTTTTATGTAAAAGAAAATAAGTTTTTTTTAACAATAAAAAATGTTTTTTTTTAAATTTAACTGTTAATAAGTTATTAAACAGTTAAATTTAAAGAATTTTCAGCATTATGTAACAGTAAATACTTTTTTTATTTAAGAGAAAATAAAGTTTTTTTGAACAGCTAATTGGTTTATATTGTATTAAAGTAAAGTATATTTATAAAAATAAAGATGGCATCAAATCTAAACACTTTTATCAGTTTTCCTTTTTTTAAACTCCACACTTTGTTAAAAAAGTTTAAAAATAACGGTATATTTCATTTACAAATATGAAAAACTTTGAGACTTATGAAAAATAATTTATTTCATTTGCGTTAAATTTTGTCATGAATAAACTGTACACTTACTTTAACTTTTTTTGCGTGTTTAAACCTTACATTTGTTTTCTTTTTTTAAATTCTACTTTGAGTTTTACATTAAAAACAAACTCAGTGTTGCGACAGCCCATGGCGGGCCAAGGACTACAATATCCATCCCATTTTCTTGACCTTAAGCTCTAGGGTGCAGGAGCAGATGTTTTGGTTTGGTGATTAGCCGAATTCGGAACCTCTGTGTTTAGTTCCCAAGCATGCTTGGTACTTATTTAATCGACCCACAAAATTTATGAAAGGCTTAGTCAACCTTGCCCGATTTGGGGATTGAACCCTGAACCTGTGGCGCTGGAGTGCGATTTGCTATTGCCTTCAGTTAAATTTTTCAGAAATTAAACTAAATGTCTAAATCTCAAGGCAAATAAATATTTTACTTTAGTATAATTAAGTGCAAATTTAAAATGAATATTCAAATTCAAACGAAATTTGCGATAGTATTTTATATTTAAATTATTTTTCTAACAAGCTGCCGAATGGAATTATGGACGAATGTGGGAAACACAATGTAGGGGTGAGTATATGCATAAAAGAACATCTATTATACTACATTTGGATCCTTTTATCTTTAATATTTTAAGTTGCTCGAAGCACGTTTAAAGAGCCTTAGGCTTAATAGTAATCATAAAAATTGATATAGATATTCCTTATAATACATTTGATTAATGCAATAAATTGTTTGCTTTTTAAAAGTGATTTTATAAGTATTGATTTTGTTTGCATTCATTGTTTGTGGAAATATGCAGGGAAAGCTTTGAGAAGAATTTTAACTTATACAAATTTTTTAAATCATATATTTTTAATAATTTTTTTTTCTTTGAATTTTTTAAATGAATGCCTTTTTACTTGTTTCTGAATAGGATATGATTTTATTTCTGTTTCTGAATGGAGTACGTTTTTTACCTATTTTTTGTGGGATCTGACTTATTTTCTTTTTAAAGGACTACATTATTTCATTTGTTTCTGTATCTGAAAGGTGTACTTTTTTATCTTTTTTCAAATTGGATATACTTTGATTCCTGTTTCTGGAAGAAATACTTTTCTTTATCTTTTTCTAAATACAATATAATTTGATTCCTGTTTTTGAGAGGAATGCTTTTTATTATCTTCTTTCAAATGGGATATTTGATTCCTATTTCTGAGGGTATAAATTTTTTAAATTTTTTTTCCAAATAGGATAGGATTTAATTTCTGTTTCTAAAATAATTACATTTTTTTAAACTGTATCTAAATTGAATATTTCTGTTTCCGAATGGATTTCTTTTTCCTAATGGAATAAAAACATTCTATTCCGAATGGAATTTTCACCTGTTTCTGATAAGTATAAAGTTTAATTCGTGTTTATAGGTGGAATAATTTTTTTTCTGCTTCTAGATACCTTATTTATGGTTATTTCAGATTTATGGTTATTTCAGAATGATATACGTTTTTACTTATTTTAGAAACAAATCACCTGTTTTTGAATAGGATATGATTTAATTCACATTTTTGACTGAAATACGTTTTCATACTGTTTCAAAATCGAAGATGTTCTTTCCTGTTCCTGAATGAAATGTGTCTTCTTTCAGTTTTCCAGATGGAATGTATTTTGTTTATGCTTGTTTTTTGCGCTGTTTAAGAAACAACTATTAGTTGAAACGTGAGACTGGAGGAACCAAATTTGTATTGATGTCTTTTCCAATTAAAGTCGTATTTGCTTTTTCGTTGATAAGTTGATTTTCAATTAAGGACCAATTTCTCTTTGTATGTTAGCTCTGAAGTATTTACTGACAATGATTTTTGCTTTGCTAAAGATTTTTTTCGTTTCTTTAAATTAATCCTCCTAGTAGAATCCTGCAACTATCTAGAATACCTTCGGAAACTGTTTTCGTTTATTACAGAATATCAGTACACCAGTTGAAAATTAGTAAATCGTTTTGGTAGAAAAAGCTTACAAAAGAAAAAAAATGTAAGAACACTGACATGACTTTTAAAAAGCGATGCAAGAGAAGGGTGTTAAAATTTGCATGTTGTTATTCGAAATATTTATTTTAAAAATTCTTGAGTTAAAAAAAATGCCGTATCAAATAAATGAAGAATTACTGTAGAAATATTTTTATAAAACCAATACCGAAAACTGCAAATGAATCTTTTATTTTGCATGCTTAGTTGTATTTAAATTGAATATTTATTTATATTTTTCATATATAATGTACAGTGCACAAAAATCGACTCATTTTGAATAACTTTTGATTTAAAGATTGGATTTTTACATACCGAGGTACAATTGTAATGGTATGAAAGGTGGATTTTAAGTATGTTATTAATTAGTACAAACTTTAATTTACGTTACAAAATCTGACACAAAAAGTGCTTTCCCTGAATAAACATACTTTTTTTTTACGCACTTAGTCTCTTGATAACATGGAAGGAAATGGCTACATTGTGTAAAATGTAGGTTCTCAAACAATTGGTCATTCTCCCGAAACGTTTGGTCACTCTCCCGACTCGTTTGCTGCGACCATATTTTCCAAATTGCGATGATCTTCCCTAATTTGAGGGTCCAAAATCCAAATCCGTAAAAAGCGAAGATATGTTTATTCAGCGAAGGCTCGTTTTCTAGTCCGATTTTGAGAATTAAGATATTGTCGGTGCTAATGTACTAGCACACTTAATGTTTATCATTTAATTCAAACCATTAAGACAGAATTTTAGTGAAAGAAAATCCTTTGAGATTAAACGTTAGTCTCGGTGTGTCTTTTGTGCATTGTGCATACTTTTATTTGTAAAGTTTAGAGCTTCATTTTTTAAATTGTTTATTTACTTAAATTGTAAGTGTTTAAAGCATTTTTTGTTGCTATAAACCATGGTTTTGTTTTAAATAAGATTGGTGGTTTTTAAAAACAGCGAGCTCCATAAACTGTAAAATAAAACATTTGTTTTTGCGGTAAAATGTAAAATATTAAATGATTTTATACTGTAACAAATAATCTATTTTCTTAAGAAGTGATTATTATAAAGCTAGCTTTCTATGCTTTAGTTTTGAATCGCAGCAATATTTTCATTTCATTTAAATTAAAAATATGATTGATAAAGCCTTTTTTGTGTTTGATTTATTTGAAAGTATTTCATTTTAGAAAAATTACTGATGGATTAATACCGTTTTAAGCGAGGTATTACTTTTTAAACAAAATTGTATCATCTCCTTTTAAGATATGATTTTGACACAAATTTTTTTAAATTTATTTTTTTCACTTTTGTTTTTGATTTTTCATACGTTTAACGTCTCATACGTTATTTTCTTACTCCCTTTCGAAAATTATTTGTGAAGCTTTTACATATGTGCTTATTTAACATGTAAACAAAGTGATTTACGGAATCTTTAAATATATATGTCCTTAGCATGTAAACTAAATGATTTATAAAATTTTATATGCGTCTTCAGAATGGATTCTAAGGGATGTATGATAACTTTAAATATGTGCAGATAATATTTAATTAACTGGAAGCTATTAATAAGTACATATTCCTTATCTATTTAAAATTTATATTTTAAATTTTGAAGCTCAAAACTTTTGTTGTATTATATATTTTTTAATTTTTTGTGATTTGTTATCAATGATGATTGAGTTGCATTATTGTGTGATCTGCATGACCCAAACATAATACTCATTATAATTTCTTATCATTTGTTAATGAGGGAATACGTGAATGGGTGATTCAGTGTATAATTGTATTAGTGCATAGACATATCAGTGAATAGACAGGTAGTGATATGGTGAATCAGTGAATCTACGTATTAGTGAATTGATAAATAAGTGATTTGGCGAATCAATTTGTTGGTAAATTGCAGCCGATGACCACGCTTTTTTTTCTTTTTTCTTAAAAATTTATCTTTTGAAAGAGTTATTAAAAACATTTCAGCCATTTTGTTGCACAATAGAGCTATGTAAAAGGAAAACTATTCATGCAATTGCGATGCAACTCATGAAATCAATGGTAACATGTATGTGCTGTCGAGCACCAGACTAACAGTTGTTGATGACAATTGTGACCTGGTGTTCATCAGGCATCAAACCAAGGAACAGTGACAATCATAAAGAAATGGTCATCACAGGAGTGACGTCACCTGGAGATGTGTTCTGTTCCGTGCCTGGACGACTCTCCCTCCTCAGTTCGACATCCAAATACAAAGTAACCGTGGGGGAAGTGCAAAGGAGACTATCACCACCTGAATGTCTCAACGCGTCCTTGCTAGGAGGTGTCCTTAGGAGGTATGTACTTCCAAAATTCTTCTCTTAAGAATTGCCATAATTCACCTGATGAACAATTATTTAAATTTTATTATCATAAGATAACTCATTAAATATCAGCTGATTCTTGTGTCATAAGAATCTTAGTCATAAGAATCTTATGTCATAAGAATCTCATGTTATAAGAATTTCATGTTATAAGAATCTCATGTTATAAGAAACATCAGTTGAATTGAAATGTAAGAATCTCATGTCATAAAAAACATCATTTCAATTGAAATGTTATAAGAATCACATATCAAACGAAACATCAATTGAATTGAGATAACACGAGAATCTCAGGTCGTAAGAATCATGAGTGAATTAAAATGTCACGAGAATCTCATGTCGTAAGAAACATCAGTTGAATTGAGATGACATGAGAATCTCAGGTGGTAGGAATCATCAGTGAATCTCATGTCATGAGAATCTCATGTCATCAGAAACATCAGTTGAATTGAAATGTTCTAAGAATGTCATAAAAAAACATCAATCGAATTAAAAAGTCACGAGAATCATGTCGTGAGAAGTGTCAGTAGAATCTTTTCTCTTAAAAATACTCATGTCGTAAGAAATATCGGTAGGATTGACATGCGTTGAGAATCTTCAGACATAGAATTGAGTAATATTCATGCCACTAAAAAACAATTTAATTTCAATGTTATAAGAACTTCATATCATAAGACATTCCTCTGATAAGAAATTAGAAAATATTCCAGAAGGAAATCGGGAATATGCATCATTAAACTTACATTGAAACGCCGTAGAAAGCGTTATTTAAAATTTTACTATTGCACATTCCTTTCACCAAATTTCATTTTAAAGTATCTATGTGTAAAAAAATTATAGGTTTTACCATAATTTTGCCATTATCAAATTGTTTAATTTGACATTTTATATTCAATCTTATTTATTAGTTTCCTAATTTTCGTTTCCAGTCTTTGGTTAATGGTTATTAATTATATCAAGTAATTCAAAAAATAATTTTTTTAAATGCATCACATAGAAAATGCGTACTCTAACAGCAACCTAAAACAAAATTTCTACTAACTAAAATTTGGAAAATTATACTTATTACTGTTAAGAATACAATAAACGCTAAAAACTCTTACTTCACCTGATCTGCATTGAAATTCTAATAGCAGTGTGCATTAATCTAATATTTATTACCAACTGTTGCGTCTTGAAGGTACTAAATATCTAATTATAGACAGAAACTGGATGTCAGCATTAAATATAGCGTATTAATTGACATTCCTGTCTCAAGAACCATGAAAAATTCATTTATGGGACCATCACTCAAAGTAATATTTACGACTAAACGAACTCAACCGTGTTGCAATTTAGCGAAAGGTCATTCCCTGACTTGTCTCGTAGTTTTGATTCTGACCATTATCCGTTCGTAATATGCGCTAACTCGCGTTCTTAAAGTCAAATTCTTATGCATAACAATTACATCATTTCAGTTCGAGTAAGATTGGAATTTTTAGAAGGAATTTCTTTCCATTTTGTTCGCTTGATATCATAACCGATGGCCATTCGAAAAGTATTCTATCCAAAGTCCCCATCGAAGGAAAATTAATAACATTCTCGTGGGCAACTTTTCCAAAATAGAACAATAACAACAATTTTCCGTCTCATCCTAAACTATTCATCCGTGCTTTGTCTTGGCGAAATTTACTTTTCGCCAAGTCACCTGTCGCTATTAATAACGTATGGAACGTTTTGAAAACGTCTCATTCTTCGCAAGATGGAAAGAATTTATGAAAGTATAGTGACATGATCCCCCACCATTGAATTCTTGCTTGTCCGTCCACTGCAAATCTTCATATATGAGTGAGTCGGAGTTATGGCTGCTAGAATTAATAAGTTTTAGAAGAAGATGGATTCAAATAAGCATTTTGGCGTACGGTGGTTCGCGAATAACTTTTAGGAATGTAATAACTTTTCAGTTCCCTCTAGAAGAGGGATTCGAAATAATCCGATATCTCTCTTTACTCGTCTGATGATTCTTATCGTCCTCACCCCCTCTTTGCTTTTTGGTGTCCCGCATAACTACATGCTTATGGAAAGAAGTATAGGCATCAGTGCAGAAAATGCTGGATATATCTTAAGTACTTCGTCGCACGTCATTGGCGGGGAGATATGATGCACTTTTTCAAAAATGTTTCTGTTTCTCCTGTTTACATTACGAACGACCTTAAATGAAGTAAAATGTTTTCTTTTTGCTGTAGAAAAAAAAAGAAGCGTTCATATTAGAGTCACGTAAAAAGATGGAAATTCGGAAAATTTTAAAGATGGAATTCCGTTCCGGCTGAATGTTCCATCTTTACGAGATTAAGTTGAAACAATTTTGCAAGGTTGACGAACTTCGAAATAGCATTTTCTTTAAGGATCAGATATGAGCATTTTTATGAAATACACGAATGCTATAAAGAAATTATGACTGATTTTGATATCTAACTTACGTTTGTTGATAGAAACACACATATATATAAAAAGCTCTGTAATGCCTAAAGATATTTTTATCTAATTATTTTGGTGAAAACACATATTTACTTTTTAACTACTTCTATAGAGTATAAGTTTGTTGATTGAAACACAAATATATAAAGCTCTGTAAAACCTAAAGCATTTTTTTTATTATCATGTTAGTGAAAACACATATTTATTTCTTAACTATTTCTATAGAATATAAGTCTGTTGATTCAAACACAAATATATAAGGCTCTTTAAAATCTGAAGCTTTTTTTATATAACCATATTGGTGAAAACATCTATTTATTTTTTAACTATTTTTTAGAGCATAAGTTTGTTGATTGAAACACAAATATGTAAGGCTCCTTAAAACCTGAAGTTTTTTTTATGTAATCATATTGGTGAAAACATCTATTTATTTTTTAACTATTTTTTTAGAGTATAAGTTTGTTGATTGAAACACAAATATGTAAGGCACCTTAAAACCTGAAGCTTTTGTTATATAATCATATTGGTGAAAACATCTATTTATTTTTTAACTATTTCTATAGAGTATAAGTTTGTTGATGGATACCCAAACATATTAGGCTCTGTAAAATCTGAAGGTTTTCTTTATAATCATGTAGGGGGAAATATATGTTAATTTCTTGTATATCGATATAAAGGGTTCTGATATATATATCGATATATATCGATTTCTTATGTATCGATATATACTTGAAAATTATAAAAAATAAAAATGTACTAAAATGTTTGAAATATTTCCGTTGAAATATTGTTCTATTATTTTTACTAATACTTTTAATGAACAAGCTATCTACAGTTCTAATACATATTATTACTTTTAGTCCACTATATTTTACTGTTGTACTATTTTTACTATTAATTTCAGTTTACTCTATTTACTGTTCTAATATTTTTACTATAATTTTTAGTCAATTATTATTACCTGTTCTAATATTTTCCTACAAATTTTAATTTATTAATATCTGCTGCTCCATTATTTTCACTATTACACTTGGTCTACAATTCAAATATTTTTACTATTGCTTTTAGTCAACTATTATCTGCTGTTCTTCTATTTTTACTACAAATGTTACTCCACAGTTATGTATTGTTCTATTATTCTTAATAATACTTTTAGTCAACAGGTTATCTACTGTTCTAATATTTTTTAATACTTTTAGTCAACTATATTTTACTGTTTTACTATTTTTACTATTCTTTTAGTTTACTCTATCTACTGCTCTAATATTTTTATTATAACTTTTAGTCAATTACTATCCACTGTTCTAATATTTTCCTACAAATTTTAATTTACTAATATCTACTGCTCTACTATTTTTACTACTACATTTGTTCTACTATTATTTACTATTCTAATACTTTCACTATTACTTTTAGTCAACTATTATCTGCTATTTTTAAAACAAATGTTAGACCACTGTTATGTATTGTTCTATTTTTATTACTTTCAATCAACTGTATTTCACTATTCTACTATTTTTACTATTACTTTAAGTCTACTCTATAGACTGTTCTAATATTTTTAATGTAGCATTTAGTCAACTGTTATTTAATATTTTTACTACAAATTTTAATCTACAAATATCTACTGTTTAGCTATTTTCACCATTGTTTTTAATCAATTAACTGCAGCTAAGTCGACACGATTTCAAAATTCCTTCACAAAGCTTTTTTTTTTTAAATGAAAAACAAAAGTGAATTAAGTCTTATACTTATCAGTGAAAAGTGCCTTATTTTGTGTGAACTACAAGATAGTTATTTTCTTTTTCACAAAACAATCCATTTTGTTGCACGCTCTGTTCCATTGATCTCCGATTGTGATCCATATAATCACTTTTATAGTCCATCGCATTCATTCTTTCGTACGTGACTTTCGGCTATTTTGGCAACAATGTCTGATTGTAACAACGAAAATGTTAAAGTGGAAAATTTTATTTTTCATTTCGATTATTTTGATGTTACCAATGAAGAGATCCCAAAAGTTGCCTTTCCAAATTAAATCAAACTTTTCACTGAAGAAGATAATATTGACACTATGCAGTTGTATTATTAATAATATTAACAAACATATATTAATTAATAAATATAATTTTTTAGTTTGAAGTCTTGCACAATTTGCAATAATTATACATTTTTTTTATATTGTAGGGTATTTTGCACAGATTTAACTCATTTTAATCTAATTAACATACACAAATAAATATTAACATGATTTGCTATACTTCATGTAAATAATTTGATACATATTATTTTTACATTTCCCATATTTTACCACAAACGTATAATTTACAATTATATAATTTTTCAGCTTTCTAAATTTTACACAAAATTTATATGCTTAATTAAATAATTAAACCATTATGTATAACTTTAATTGCTTATTATATAATATGATTTGATGTACAGTGCTCAAAATAAGAAAATGGACTGTCCTGTATATGATCTAATGATCGTATCTTCACGTTTTGAACTCAATCTTAATGGTTCAAGGGGGCGATTTCAAATCTGCTAAAAAAATCAGCGCTAACGATATTTTGAGTTAAGAAGTCAGACACAAAAACGTACTCTGAATCAACATTCCTTTTCTTTCGGCGGATTCGAATTTCCTACTCCCACAATATTAGAGTCAGTCGCAATCAAGGAAATATGACAAGGANCTATTCAAATTTGGTCATATAATTAATATTAAATTAAACTAAAAATTTTAGTAACATACATAGTGTTATTTTCTGTTTGCTGGTAGAAGGTGGGAAAAAAAACAACCGTTCAACTCACATTTTTCGCTTCACCACAGACGTGAAATGATGTTGAAGATGGTAGGGCCTCTTTGTGACAAGTGATCATTAGGGTTGGGGATGAAATCTCACCCGCTTGAAAGAGAGGGGCGTTCAAAATAATAAAAAAAAGAAGATATAGTTGATAGATAGCAACATTTGATACCTGTTTTCCACTACCTGCAATCTCTTATGACAACAAAGATAGAAAACTTGGCAGTAAATAAGCTCTTTTTGAGTTGCGCCATCAAGAAAAATACCATTTTTAAAAACAGTTTTCGTAAGTATGACTGCTAAACATTCTCCGCCTATGGGAGGCAGTTTGGATATTGCAGATAAGAAGGAAAAAATTATACGAAATCTGCTCACATATGAATTTAATGCTTACATGAAATTATTTTCTTCTTTGCAAATATCATTTAAGAATGAATGTTAGTTCGATAGTTAGTTTGGTACTTACGAAGATGGTAGAAAATAATGTGACTGCTTACATGCATTGTTGATGAATATATGTAAGTTTCATGCTTACAAGAAACTATTTTCTTTCATTTTGCAAATATCATTTATGAAAAAATGTTAATTTAATGCTTGCAAATCACAGAAAATTAGTATACCTGTTTATATATATCATTGATGAAAATATATATGAATTTAGTACTTACAAAGATTAATTTCCACTATACAAGCTTCATTTATGAGTAAGGGTTAATTTTGCTCGCCTGTTAAAATAAATCGTTGATATATGACTTTAGTATTTAAAGAAAATAATTTTCTTCTACTAAAATGCATTTATGAATGAATATTAGTTTAGTACTTGCAGATAGAAGGAAATGGTGCGACTATTTTCATAAGTCTTTGATGAATGTATATCAATTCAGCACTTACAGAAAATTATTTTTATCTATGAAAATATCGTTTATGAATAAATGATAGATGCGAACTAATAGATTGAAGAAAATAGTATTTTTTTAAATATAAATCAATGAAGAAAGTATACAAATTTAGTATTTGCGGAAATTCATTTTTTACAATCCAAATATCATTTATAAATGAATTTTAATTTACTTCACAGATTGTATAAAACAGTGTGTTTGTTTGCATGTGTTATGAAGGAAAGTGAATGAATTTAGTTCGGACAGAAAAAAAAATTCCACTGTGTAAATATCATTTACATATTGGAATGTGTGTTGTGTGTTAATTTGGCACTTACAGATTAGATGAAATAATATGCCTAGTTTCAGAAATCATAAATGATATATTCATACTTTTCTTTTACTAAAATATAATGATAATCACGACTTTTACAAATGGGGACTTTTTAACATCAAACAGTTTATTTGTTTTGTTTCTAGATAGTTGTTTCGTAAGTTTCCTAAATTTCCATGATATGACATTACAATGCACAAAGAGATATTATTTCCTTCATTAAATCTAGGTACATTCACCAAAACTCTGTCTTGAACAGTTTGAAAATGTGGTTCATTATTATATTATCACAATTCACCATAAGCTATTATTTTCATTGAGTTCTTAGGCTAATTATTCTTTTAAAGACATATTTACGTATGAAAATAACATGCTTATTAATCTTGCTTGTGAAAACACGTTTAAAAGATTTGGCTAGTCATATTTATAAAAAAATACATAATGATGAAAAGACCACGCTATTTGAACTTGCTGTAGAAAACACACGGATGAAACAATTCTGATAAAATTTGCGTAATGGATGGTAGTGAAATTTCTGTTTAAAAGAACCCATCATTCTGGTCATAAAAAAACAAAATATACGGTATTTAAACCAATCATTATTTAATTTTTCCGTTCATTTAGTATTGGTGTACCATAAATTTTGGTTTTCAAAATTATAATTCTTATTAACTCACATTTAGTAAAATATACAAAACTGAAAAGTAAAATTCACCGAATAAATGGTTTTTATGACATGCTCTAAGGTATCATAATAACATTACACAATTACCAAATTTTATCACAAATTATGAAACCATGTTTTATTGTTAATTTTAACAAAATCATTACCAGAGCGTTTCAGTGAAAATTACCGAGATTTTCGGTATTCTCATAGAGCTAGAAACACAGTAAATTTTACCACATTCTGGTATATTTTTTACCTTGCTTTTTTTTCAGTGCACTTATAGAAAATTGTATTTATAATGCTTGTTCTGCGTCATTTTCCTGTCATGAATAACTTTTTTAAACTTTTCTTGCGTTCAGAACATAAAAATTTAAGACGCTTTTTTAATAGCCTCATAATTAGTTTCTTTGTTCTGACAACAGGCAATTAAATACAGATCTGATAACTTTACCCTCACTTTTGAAGTAACTGTAATATGTCAATGGCAAAGACATATTTATTGTTTTTAATTCTGACTTTTTCGTGGATTGTTTCTTAATTTCTTTTTATTGTTATAGAGCTAAATCTAAAAACGGAGGACGTTCTCTTCGAGAAAAACTAGAAAAAATTGGTCTAAATTTACCTGCTGGCAGGCGAAAAGCTGCAAACGTAACCCTTCTCACGTCTTTGGTAGAAGGTAAGTTTAAACTATTCTTTTTATTCTGCACCTTTTATTCATCAAAATTTTTAAGAATTCTATTAAAATTTAAAGCTGCTCATGGACTATATAGTTTATTATATGTTTTTATTATTGATCGAAGCTTTGTTTGTTTCATAATTTCTACATGGAATGATTGAAGTTAAGAGAGATTTATAACTTGTTCATACTTTTGAAAATCACCAAATACTCAATGTATCAATTTTGTAACTCTGACAAGAAATTTTTAATTACTTTTATAATAATATTTACTAATTTCTTTTTAGTTAAAGTTATCAAAAAGTAAAAATACCACTTTGACTATAAGGCCAAATGGTAATTTTTCATTGCATATTTTGGCAACGCTAACTTTTATTATAACCATTTAGCTTTTTTCTTGTCGTTGTTCAGTCGTTGTCTTTCTACACTGACCTCAACTGAAGAGCGTATGTTTTGATTGGCTCGATTCACTCTGTCAGAAATATCGCCAAATTGAAAGTTATATATATTTATTCAAAGTATTCGAAAACCCATGCATCAGCTTTGCACTGATTTCAACACCACTATACATTTTTTATAAAGTGAAATATTAAATCATTATTCATTTTATGCTCATGTAGCAGTATTAATTTTTTATTTTAAGATTCTTGTCATCCACAATCGAATCGGGACTGTTTTTATGGAAAAAACATGTCAAGCTCATATGTGTGTTAAAAAATATTTTAAATAATTAAGAAAACATAAAATTTTTGAAGACGCATGTATCCATCTTGCACTAAATTCGACTGCTATAAATCACAGTATAATTTCTTTCAGAAATATTTAATCGTCACACTTACATGACAGGAAACAGTTTTTATATTTTAAGACTCTTATCATCCATAAAACAAATAGTGGCCTGTTTTACTCAGGTTTGGTGAATTCTGTGGGTCCTGCAAGTTCATGCATCCATTTAGCAATATTTTAATTAGTTGAGAAAGCATAAAATTGTGTAAGACGCATATATCAAGGTAGCGTTAAATTCAACAGCTATACGCATATATCTAGGTAGCACTAAATTCAACAGCTATATTTCACACTATACATTTTTCAAAAGAATGAAGTATTTAATCTTTGATTTTTATGATCAAAGGGAATATTTTTATTTTAAAATTTTTATTTTCAACAAACGAATATGGACTATTTTCCATAGATCATATAAAATCAAGCCAAGTTCATAAATGTATTAAAAATATTTTAAATAATTACAAAAATGAAAAGTACTAAATTACGCATATATCAATGTTGCACTAAATCCAACAGCTCTTTTTCACATTATACATTTTTTTTAAAGAAAAGAAATTTTTTATCATTGATACATTTCAAACTCCTGTAAGAGGACATTATTTATTTTGAAATTAATATTATCCGCAAGCTAATATAGACTGCATTCCACATACCTATAAAATCAAACCAAGCTCATACGTGTATTAAAAATATTTCAAATAATTACGAAAACATAAATTACTGAAAGACACATTTATCAACTTTGCACTATATTCAACAGCTATACTTCATATTATACATTTTTAGGAAAGAAAATATTTTATCGTTATTCATTTCCAACTCACAAGACAGGAAACTGTTTTTATTTTGAGATTCTTATCATCCATCAAACAAATGGTGGTTGTTTTGCTCAGGTTTTGAGCACTTTATGCGAGGTTAGAAAACCAAGTTCGTGCATGCATTTAAAAAATATTTTAATTAATTCCGAAATCATGAAGTAGGGAAAGACGCATATATCAACTTAGTACTGAATCCTCTTTTTCAAATTATGCATGTTTCCAGGAAAGGAAATATTTAAACATTGTCCCATGCTAGAGAAAAAAGTTTACTTTTAAAGTGTTACTATCCACAAACGAATAGGGACTGATTTCCCCACAGATAGCAAACTAAACCAAGTTCATATATGTATTAAAAATATTTTAAACAATTACAAAAACGAAAATATTTTAAATAATTACGAAGTGCTAAAAGACGCATATACCAACTTAGCACTAAATTCAACAGCTATATTTCATATTATACATTTTTTTAAGAAGGAAAATTTTTCATCGTTATTCATTTCATACTCACATGACAGGAAACTGTTTTTATTTTAAGATTCTTATCATCCATCAAACGAATGGTGGCTGTTTTTGCTCAGGTTTGGCGCATTTTCTGCGAAGTTGGCAAATCAAGTTCATATATTTTGGATGAACGGAAGCCACTCCCGAATTTTTTTCATCTAGGCCATTATTAATGACGAACGGAAAACAAAAATAAATTCTGAGCGTATAAATTTGCAGATATCGTCATTATATGTGCTTTACCTCAAATTTTAAACATCCAGGTGGGCGGGGGACATTGACGCTGATCGATTATGACCAGATTTTGGCCCAGCAGTTGGATGTTTTGATGGTATGATAAACTTTTGATAAGAATTTTAGAGCAATATTATCTACTCTATGATAATAGTGTTTCAAGAATTTTTTTTTTATTATACTAGTTTTAAATTTTTATAAAATCTTTTTTTTTATCCGGATTGATTGATAATGGTTGGATTATCCATCAATACTACTTATGGGCGTTAATACCAACTAATAAATAGTTAAAGGTATTAATATAAAAGAAAGTTGCCAAAATACTGATTCTTATCACTTCAAAAATCTTAAAGAAATAAGACTTCAAAACGACCGAGATAGCCTGGCTGGTAAGGCTTTGGGCCCATGTCCAAGAAGTCGTGTATTCGATCCCCGCCAACCAAAGACTCCCCCGTGTAGTAAATAGTGACAGTTGCACGTTAAATCTGACGGGCCACAAAATCATCCATGTTCCCATAACAAATCAGACCTCTGGGTTTACTGAGTTTGAGATTGATTGTTTTCTGGTTCAAGTCAAAATTATGATCTGTGGGTGGCTGAAATCGTATACTTGGCCATAGATGGCTCCACTGAAAAACAGGAAATGCACCTTCTGCCTTAAAATTGCTTGGTTTCACCAAGCAATTTTATTGCTGGTATTGACAAGTGCCATAAGAAACAACAACAACAGACTTCAAAACGACTTAAGCTAGAAAAAAGTTTCGGGTCAAATAATAAATCACGATAATTAATCGATAAGCCACGTTCTTAACTTATTCAGAAAAGTGTTTTTATTGAGAAGCATGAAAATTTTCATAAAATCAATGAAATGTTTCTGAATATTGAACTGTTTTCTTCACGAAGTTAGGTTAATTAATGCTAAGTTAAAATAAGTTAAATTAAATCATTTAAAAAATTGAACAACAAGTTAATAAAATAAAAAATAAAAATAAAAAATTTTACAGTATACACGACATTTAATTTAATTAGTAAAAATGTCTCATATCAGTTTTAAAATTTTTTAGAATTGATGAAGATTTAAATATTTAATTAAGATTTACTTTAATAAAATTTAAAGCAAGAGTTCATGCAATTAATAATATCACCCATTATCTTCTAAAAATAAATATTGAGTATCAAAAAATAAATTTAAAATACAAACATTTTCTGCCATTCAAGAAATGGCAAAAATGTGTAATAATTTATTCGTGTGTATAATATGTAGTTAGCATGAGTTACGGATGTATGATAACAAGATATCAATTGTAAACATTAAAAATATTTAATTAATTTTGAAACATAAAATTTTTTCTAAAACTACAAAAAGGTGAAATATTGTTATCTTAGTGCATTATTTAAGTGCATATTTAAATTGTACTTTACGGTTTCAATTGCCTCAAATTCATTAAAAAAGTTTCAGAAAATATCGAATGTGAGAATAAGTATTGCATACTGAATACAATCAACAATAATGTTCTTTATAATTTAATAATTCATTTTTTAAATGTTTTTAAAGAACTAAAATTTTTTAGACATTAAAAGGATCATGATGATTATTATATTAAATAATAATCGTCTAAAATTAAAATTTATTTAACTGTACAATATATAATAAACCTTAATATTGTAATTCTACATTTAAAACTGATTCAAATATTTGCAAATTTAGCGATATCATCTTTTATGATTAGAGTTATTACTTACCAAAGCAAGTAAATTACCATATGCAAATTTTAAAAAATGTTAAGAAATTTAAAATCTTCCATAATTTTTAATAAATAGCGTATTATTTTTCTGTACGATATTTTAAAATATTTAAAGCTCACTGTCTTTATTTTGATACTTATTCTTTGATATTAGTAATCGTATAACTTTATACGGGATGCAGAATTAAAAGTTCTGTTCGTGAATCAGAAAATTTAATAAAAGCTGATTAAAATAAATTTTAAATTCAATCAAGTAATTATTTATCATATTCTTATCATTGAAAAAGAGATTGAGACTTCTTCAGGTTGGAACAAAATTTTAAATTTAAAAGCATGTATCTAGATAAGAGATAAAGTTCACAAAATATTTTGTATTAAATACATTTTACTCTCTTTAGGGTGGTGAATTTCAAAATTGTGAGTCCTTAAATCGAAAAGTTTAATCAATATTAATCGAAACAAATTTAATTAAATAATCATCACTCAGATTCTAAGCATTTAAAAAAAAAGTAAAGACTTTAAATAGATTTATTTTATTCTCTCATTGATTTTATGTTTATAATAGTGCTCTCTTTTTTCAGCATGTCTGCATTCTTTAGTTTTAGTCCATAAGCTTAGTGTTTTTTCTTTCTTTTAGGTGAAGCAATTCATTTAGCCAGGGATTTCGGCTATGTTTGTGAAACGGAATTTCCTTCTCGCCAAGTTGGTGAATATCTATGTAGAAATCACAGTGACCCCAGTGACCTTTACAGAAGAAAAGAACTAATCCTAGCAACCAAGTATGTTTTTAAAGTATTTCTGCTTTATTTTTTTTATTTTTTATTTATTTATTTATTTATTTTTTTGTATCAATCTACCGTGATAGCAGGCAACCTTAATACGAACGTTGTATTTTCAATTTTATGTGTTGTCATAGAAAGGTTGACTAATTAATCCTTTTTTCAAACTTAAAAAATAGATACTCAAAAAAAAAAAAAAAAAAAAAAAANGACACTGTAAAAAATGGATACTCAAATATCACGAAATTTTCTTCGATTTTGATGAAACCGTTTCCTGGTATATGCTCGGAGCAAAAACTTCGTCAAAGTGACGAAATAACTATCGTCACTTCTTCAAGGAATTCAATTTAAACCAATTAAAGAAGTATTTCACCAACTAAACCAATTAAAGAAATATTTCATTTTAGTTTTTTTACAAAAAGAAATAAATGAAAACCTAGTATGGCCTAATTTATCTAACTATTCTAGTAATCACTAATCCTGAGCAACATATTGGTGAATCGGTGCTGCCCTGATAGCATAAGGACAGATAGAACATGGAAATAAATTTCACCTTATGCCTGAAGCAGGATTCAAACCCGTGATCTTCCTGGTACAATGCCATCTCCTTAACCATTTCGACAATTATTTAATAAAATATTAAAAGACAATAAATATTTTCTAAAAATTATATTTGGCATAAAATTATATCTGGAGATACGAATTTTATAATTGTGTGCAAACAATTTTTGATTCGCTTAAAAGTTTCTTGAGATATAGCGAAATACGCAAAAAGTAAAATTATCATTAAGGGGTTCAAACTAATGACCACTCACCCGACCTAACTATTGAAACCGTGTTACCGAGATTACTGCTATCTGTCATATTTTGGGGACAAAAATCTGAACCCATCAAATAAAAGGTATGTCTATTCAGAGAAAGTATGACTTTCGACTAATTTCTTAACTTTAAATTTCGTCTGCACAAATTAATTAGCTTATTTAAAGTCACTCCCTCTATCCATTAAGTCTGATTCACTCAAAGAACCAACCAGGCCAAAAGGCACTCAAAGAAAAATTAGATAAAGTTTGAAATCTACTGGCAATGAGGGCAAAAACTGGGGAACACTTGCAGGTAGAAGACTAGGCGGGATAAAGTTGCTTTAAGGGGACCAATTTGAACTGCGAAAGAAGCGAAAAAATTTAATTTGTTGACATGAAAATATATTAATATTAACTTTTTTATGCTAAATAACATGGTATACATTTTGTTAATTTCGATTTTTCTTTTTCTGTTTCAGACAAATCATGAAAGAATTTGTGGACTTACTAAACCAAGACCGTTCTCCACTATGTAATACAAGGCATCAAGCAATCCTCGAACCCAACATCCAACGCCACCTGACGCACTTTTCCCTAATTACGCACGGCTTCGGCAGCCCAGCGATAGTTGCCGCGCTGACCGCTGTCCAGAACTTTATGAACGAGTCCTTGAAGTACCTCGAAAAACAACTGAACGCGTACCAGAATTCTGGTGGGACACACGTTTCCGGTGTTGACACAAAAAAGGAAGACCCAAAAAAGTGAGCTTGATGGTAAACACCACGACAAAAAACACTTAAAAAAAGTCTTCAACTAGTCTGCTGAGAAGACTTTGCGAACGAGAAGGGACACGCAACACCGGTGGACATTTCCACCTGCCGTCCCAGAAATGTTTATGTAAATTAAGAATATTCTTGTAAATATAAAAGAACAGTTATAGAAACATTTTTTCCATTATGGTACAAATTAGAAATTATCGATTAGGTAATCCTGTTGACCAGGATCACAGACAAGACCTCAGAGGAATAAAAATAGGTAATGATCACAGATAAGACCTCGGAGGAGATGAAATAGCTGATGATCACAGACAAGACCTCAGAGGAATAAAAATAGCTGATGATCACAGACAAGACCTCGGAGGAGATGAAATAGCTGATGATCACAGACAAATTCTCAGAGGAAAGAGGGTTAAAATATCTGTTGCCAAACTTGCATTATGGAAGGCTAATGCTTTGTTCCATGAACAAATAAAATGTGGCCAAATATCATAAAATTAACTGCCTAAAATGGTGGTTCTGCTCACGGATTGCCAGTAGTGGTGGCAAGTTTTGTTTTAAAACTTCTTTCTTTTTAGTTTTATTAAGAAGATTTTATAGATTGTAAATGAAATAATTTGTTTTTATTTTTATACTTTGTCGTGAATATTAGTTGTAATTTAAAAATTGCTTTATATTTGAAAGTTTGATCGTTGTGTTTCAAAAATGAAAGTTTATTTTTTGATGACAGCAGTTTAGCAATACTACGATAAAAATAAAATAGTGTGGAATTCTTGCGTATTTAGGCAAAATAATTTTTCCTTACAATTTTTTAAGTCATTCAAGTTTCAGAGTATTATTTCTTTAAATTTCTATTAATTAATAATCATCTTTGCTTCATACTGCCTAGATTTTAGTGCTTTATACCCAAACTAGGTATTGTATTATTTAGTCCTAAAGCCACAAATATGTTTTGAAATTTTAATTCGTAAAAGGCTTCTTTTACTGCACATGTATTCTATTTTGAACAAAAATGATTTAAAACATATCAAATAATATAAATAAAAGTTTCTGAAAAAGCTATTTGCAATAAGGAATTATTAATTTATGCCAGCTATAAAACAATGAAGTCTAATACCAGCTATTCGGAAACTATATTAATTAGTTAGAAAACTAATTTTCCTTTCCTCTATAGATTAATTTCTTTAAGAAAGTTTTTCTAAAAATAAGAGTTTTGACAATTTTAGGAAATGTTAATTTAAAATGTCAAGAAAATTTGCTGCAACCTGAATAGGAATAGCAAATTGAGCTCTATTATCATACAAATTTGCAACAACCTTAATATGTTGCCCAGATTTACAAATTTGTTGCAACTTTAATATAATGTAAAGTTAAACCATGTTATGCAAAATTGCTACAACCTTAATATGGTACCAAGTCGAATCATGTTACAAATGCAAATTTATTGCAACTGTAATGTGGTTGTTAATTGAACTATATTGTTTCGAATATTTGCTGCAACCTTACTATGCTGCAATATTAACCATATTAATATTTGCATATTATCGTGCAACTTCAACAGCTTCAGAATTAAATCAACTAGAACGAAAACATGGTTTGATTTTGGCATCTTATTACGGTTGCAAAAAAATTGCACGATAATAAGATTCAACCTATCGCTATTTTATTTAACTGATATTTTTGAAAGCGAATCACAAATATGTATTTAAACTTTAAATTGCAAAACAGTTTTATTTGCAAAAAAGTGTTGTTTTTTTGACATTTGTGTTAATAATTCCCTGTTTTGAATTTTATAATTTATAAAAATAGACAGATGAATTGTTCAAAAAATCAATTTTAACAATGAATTTCTTCTCTCGTTTCATATAATTTGCAAAAAAATAGTATCTATTTGATAAAAAAAATAACTAAAAAAAGTCTGAACAATTGATAAGTCCTTATTGACGAGTTACACAAACTTTGCTGTTATGGAATTATTTTTTTAAAATTATTTCCGAAAATTCTAAATACCATCTTTAGTTAACATCCTGTGTTCAATGACTTTAATAGTATTTACATTTTTTCAATCATGCAAATTTTTAAAATAAATACATGAAATATTATTGACAAAGTTAAATAATATATTTTATCAGATAACTGATAATGAAAGCAAACTACAAGCATTAGTTTAAAGACATATAAAATGGCAAGTTACAAATTACGTAGGGGACTATTTAGATATTTATAAGCCTAAATTTTTGAAATACACAAACTTTGCTGTTCTTAACTTTTTTTTAAATGGCTGATAATATTCACAATTTTGCAATCATAGAAATTAGAAGGAAAAAAAACGTTAAATATTATAACAACATTTAAATAATATATTTTATCAGATAACTGATAATAAAAACAAACTACAAGCATAACAAACTACAAAAACAAGCTACAAGCATAAGACACATAGAGTTACAGGGTGCAACTACGCCGATGGCTATTTTAGACTAAGCATATTCGGGGACTAATTACGTTTCGAATTTTTTTTCTTCAAAAATAGCACATGTGATATTCTTAAGCTCGCGAAATTCCTTAAAACAAATTTAAATAAAAAAAATTTCCTGGAAAGCTGGTTTTAAATATATATGTTTATCATAACTCAAGGATGTGTACATTTTATTTAACCGCACAAATTCTTCAGTTCCGTTGAAACTTGTTCATAATTATGATTTCTTTCTTCAAATAAATTATGCTTTAAATATAATATGGTTTTCACAGCTATTACAACAAAATATTATTACAAACTTTTCAAGTTAAAGAAAAAATATCTTCACTGACGCAAAACCTTTTTTCTAATTTTATTTATTTTCATACTGTTATCTTTGGAAAATTATTTCTAGTTCTTATCGATATTTTTAATCAAGTGGTAAAAATTTCAGGTCGAGGCAGTAATAAGAAATAATTTTTTTAAAAAAACGCCCCTTTTGCTTTTTATTATTCAAGAAATTTTCTATTGCGTTTCATTGGAAACCCTGTTATTATTTTTTTTACTTAACTGTATGCAAAATATTTCTTCAAATTTTTAAAATTCCATACAGTAAGATATACAGGATCAAACAGTATACGACTTAGGTAATAGAAACTAGTTGACATCAAGCAAATTTTTAGATTTTGAAAAAGAAGAAAAATTCATTTCCTACACATAAGTTAATGACTTTAATAGAAAATTAATTACAAGGCTAATAATTTTTCGCTAAGTTTTTTTCCATCATCCAATGAATTTTAAATTTCCTCTTTGTATCCTTAGAATATATTAGTAAAACGTTAAGTTTGCATGGAGGTTTTAAGCAACATTTTATTGAAATAGCTTTAAAGTTCATGCGTTCACAACAAAAAAATTTTGTTGTTCTTTTTTCATTTTTAATTCAAAAGTTGCAATTTGGGAAATTTATAAATCTCTAATACTCATTTAAACTGTCATAGCATTTGCACTCTATACGCTATAATTAGCAGCCAAAATAACTTTCTAAAGGTAACTCTTTGATGTCTGTTTGCTGCCAAATTTACTTGGCGCTTTCTTCCACTCCAAAAACAATAAAAAATTGCCACTTAAGACTTTCTTCTGATCTAAAAACAATAAAAGAAATTGTCTATTAGAACCGTCTTCCATTCCAAAAACAAACAAAAAATTCTCTCTGGCAACCTTTTTCCATTCACATCTGTAAAAATTAGAAAATTGACAAAATAAATTAATGCTTTATCGTTAACTGAGATCTTTTTTAGAAAAATATTAATTTTTTCAAATATGTCACACAGAATCTAAGTTCACTAAGTTCTTCGTTTTTGTTGAAATCGTATTTATTCAGATTTTCTATTCCTTATTCCATGATTCTCAACTTTATTCAAGCTTTCCAGAAATGTGAAAAGCCATATCTTCTTGAAAAGGGTGGTTGAATTGTATTCATAGAGAAATAACTTAAGTACGAGAGTGATTTTAGAATTACGCTATTTTAATATTTCACACTGAAACTTTGATAATTTGTTTTTATTTGTTCCACTAGATTTCTAAAAAAAATTGAATTGTAGAAAGTGTACAGTCAGATGCATTATTATGAAACGTTTTCATTGTTTTGGGTGCTGTAAATTGTATTTCGGTTATTTATTATTAAAAATAATTGTAACTTTGTTTGGTAACATTGTGTTTTTATTTATTTACTAATCTGATCAAAATGCTCAAATCAAAATGTATTTATGTTCCTGTACGTTGAATCATTTAATTTTTTATGTTTATTTATACATTATGTATTTCACGCTAAAGTTATTGCATTTGTCATAAATAAGCATTTTTTTTTTCGATTGGAAAATATACAAAAATGTAAAATAAAGATTTTGTTTTTAGCTTTGTGTCTTATTTAAACTAATTTAATAGATTATTAAACTAATTTAATATATTATATTAACTAACATTAAACTAATTGAAATTAATACATTACCCCAGGAAGTTCAAAATTTGATAAATGTGAACTTCCTCGTATGAATGACGACATTTGCATAATCCGAAATTCAGTCAGAATTCGGTCACAAAAATAGTAATTAATATTATTATTTTACTCTTCTACCAGAAAATGTAAACATTCAGTTGTGAATGTCGACATTACTCCCCTAGAGTATGCTGAATGTTGACATTAACCAGTGAAAGAAAGAATAATATTAAGCAAGAATAATTTAATCAACAATCATCACCACTGACTGCATTCTGAATATCAAAATTTATTGATGAAGGAGAAAAATAATCATATTTGAAAAAAATAATTTTACTACTATTCATCTCTGCTGAGTGTTGAAGAAGGTACATTGCCGGTGAAAGGGAGAAATAATCATATTTAACTAAAATTATTTAATCAACATTAGCTATCTATTATTGTATGCTGAATGTCTTTGGCGGTTAAAGCGAGGAATAATCATAATTAATTTTGTCTACATTCTCCTCCTCTGAATGTATGCTGAATGTTGACATTAAGCGGTGAAAGTAAGAAATAATCCTATTAAGCAGAAATAAATTATCGACATTCATCACCACTGTGTGCTGAGAAAGGCACATAGCCGGTGAAAATGAGAAATAATCATCTTTTACAAAAACTATTTCATCAATATTAACCATCATAGCATGATTGAATATCGCAATTTGCCGGTGAAAGTGAGAAATAATCATTTTTAATAAAAACTATTTTATCAATATTGACCATCACTGAATGAAATAATGCTAAAATTGCCGGTGAAAGTGAGAAATAATCATATTTTAAAAGCTATTTTATCAACATTAACCATGCTAAATGTTAAAATTTGCCTGTGCAAGTGAGAAATGGTAATTTTTAATAAAAACTATTTTATCGATATTGACCATCACTGAATGACTTAATGTTTAAATTTACTGTTGAAAATGAGAAACAATCCTACTTAACAAAAACTATTAGATCAAAATTCAAGACCATTCCATGCTGAATATCGACATTTGTTTTTTAAGAGAAAAATTAGGAAATATACTATACAAGTTCAATTATTCAAAGCAATTATATGATCATCAACATTCATATTCGGAGGATGTATATGAATGTCGATATTCATTGAAGGGTTTATATATATATGAATATCGACATTGAATGAAGAATGACGGCATTCAGTAATTTCGGCCTTTCATAGTCTAACGTATGATAGTTACTCATTTGAATTTTATCTATTTATCAATAGATCAATATCCCGTCAGATTTAATGTGCACTAGACACCATTTACTACACGGGAAGTCTTTAGCCGGCGGGGATCGAATTCACGACTTCTTGGACATAGGCCAAACGCCCTATCAACCAGGTTATCTCAGTCGTTTTAAAGTCTTATTTCTTTTAGATTTTTGAAGTGATAACATTATTTAACCAACTTTCTTTTGTATTAATACTTCTAACTATTTATTAATTGGGGCGTGGTGGCTCAGGGGATAGAGCGTTTACCTTCCAATAAAGTGAACCGGACTTGAATCCCAACGTCAGGTTAACCGCGGGAGGTTTTCATGGTCTTCCTCTCCATGTGATGCAAATGCAGGTTAGTTCCATCAAAAAGTCCTCCACGATGGCAAATTTCTCCCAATACTTGATCCAGGAGCTCCCATGGCTTCTGGATTGAATTCAAAATTACAAGGCTACGGAATTGAACATTAGTAGTCGTAAACCCAAAGAATTGGGTCTGTGTGTTCAACGATAGTTATAAAATGTGTAACGAGATTTGGTCTGCCCCGATGTTAAGTTTTTTCTTACAAAAGCAATATCGAAACGGTATCCTTATTTCCATAAATAATTGAATTGGTAACCTCCAATTGAATACTTCTTCCTGACAAAATATAAATAACTGAAATAAATAATAATAAATAAAGCCATTTTTAAGGAATAGCCTGTCACCATCTAAACCTAAGACTCAAAATATAGTATGCGATTTTTAAGGAATTAAAGAGCCTGTCACCATCTAAACCTAAGATTCAAAATATAGTATGCGATTTTTAAGGAATTAAAGAGCCTGTCACCATCTAAACCCAAGATTCAGAATATAGTATGCCACCTTTAAGGAATTGAAGAGTCTGTCGCCATCTGAACCTAAGATTCAAAATATAGTATGCCACCTTTGAGGAATTGAAGAGTCTGTCACCATCTAAACCTCCGAATCAAAATATAGTATGCCATTTTTAAGGAATTAAGGAGCCTGTCACCATCTAAACCTAAGATTCAAAATATAGTAATCGATTTTTAAGGAATTAAAGAGCCTATCATCATCTAAACCAAAGATTCAGAATATAGTATACCACTTTTAAGGAATTGAAGAGCCTGTCACCCTCTGTAGATTCAAAATACAGTATGCCACCTTTGAGGAATTAAAGAACCTGTCACCATCTAAACCGCCGAATCAAAATATAGTATGTCATTTTTAAGGAATTAAAGAGCCTGTCACCATCTAAACCTAAGATTCAAAATATAGTATGCCACCTTTAAGGAATTGAAGAACCTGTCACCATCTAAACCTCCAATTCAAAGTAGTATTGGGTCTATAATAAAAATGGTGTCTTATCAAAGAAATGCCTCATTCTCATCTCCGTAGAAATTCGCATCATAATTGGTTCAACTGAAAAGAAGTATTAATTTTTACTTTTAAACCCAAATTTTAAATATTAAATGTATGCTTTTGTTTTAAAAAAATCTATCTTCATAAATTTTAAAGGGAATTTAATATCTATCCTTACTTCTATATAGAACTAAAGAGTCTACTTTTTTCCTGAATCTCTGTTTACTCTTGTCTAGACATGCTCACTCATGTCAGACTCTATTTCACGGTATTAATTTAATTTCAAATTTTATGTTTGAACACATTTTTTGTTACCAAATATGAGTTTAATTTTATGAGTTAAGTTTTTTAAAAAAAATTAAAAAAATCACAGCCATTCTGACTCGTAAAGTCTACTCAAGAATCACCCTCCATCTCAATTGTGTTAGCCTTGTTCTCTTTTCAGAACACTATATGAAAGTCTCAGCTTTCGGGTATCATTAAAGCTCTCATCATCTGAACTGTGTTTAATATTTGTATGTTTTTGAGAGACTTTATTTTGTAACAGATTAATAATTTGAATCTGATGTCGTTCTGAGTCATCATGAATCATTACTGCTTTTTGATTCGCAAAAATTATAAAGAAATCATAATTGCATTCCAATTTAAGAAGGTCATAAAGAAAATAATCAAAATTGCATTTCGATTTAAAAATGTAAAAAAAGAATCTGAATTGCATTTCGATTTAAGGAAGTCAAGAAAGAGTCATAATTGAATTTTTATTTAGAAAGGTCATGAAGTAATCATAAATTAACCATAATTGCATTTCAATTTAAGAAGATCATTAATGTATTGAAATAAACCATAATAGATACTTGATATAGGCATATCATGAATGAATCATAATTACAATTAAATTTTAGAAAGCCATGATCAATCAAAATTGCATTGCAATTTAAGACGATTATGTATGACTTAAGAATTCGATTTAATAATATCATGAATGAATCATAATAATATATTGATTCATAAAGATCATGAATGGATCAAGTGAGTCATAATAGCATTTAAATTCAATAAGATCATAAAAAAAGGAAGATTATGAATGAATAATAATTGTGTTTCGATTTAAGAAGATCAAAAATGAATCATAATAGCATTTCGATTAGGTCACGAACGAGTCATAATTGCATTTTTACATAAGATCGTCATGAACAAATCATGATTGCAATTCCATTTAGGAGGATCATGAATGAATTATAATTGCATTTCAATTTAAAAACTTCATAAAATAATCAAAATGGATTATAATTGCATTTCAATTAAAAAAGTACATGATTTAATCATAATTGCACTTTGATTTAGGATGATCATGAATGCATCATAATGAATCATAATTGCATTCTGATTTCGAAGGATTACAAATAAATCGGAATGAATCATAATTGTATTCTGAGTCGAAGAATCACAAATGAATCTTAATTACGAAAAGTAAATTCGGGTACAAATAATTCTTTAAACTTGTATTACATAATGAAAAATTCAAAACCACATATGGAATAAAACTTTTACACGAACAAGGAGTAAACGTGATTAACACCTGTGCCTTGATTACCTACTGGTTAAGACCTGGTAAACAAACGTGATCCACCTATATAAAAATTATCACGATAATAATCTCCCTTCATATCGGGGGGTGTAAACGCACACCACCCTCTTCCGTTTCGAACCCCAAACGATAAATGTATTTTTGCCCCTGCCTCCCAAACGATCAGGTTTCATTCTTCCATCCTTTGAACCACCCCTCTTATTTCTTGTTTCATGATGGGGCGGAATCGAAGGCGCCAAGTGCTAAAAAAATGCTTTTTTTCCCCCACTTCATTCTTCCAAAAGTGTGAAAACCAAAGGTAAAAACATATCTGTTCCATTTAAATGGCGTCAGTCAATGGTGAATTGTTTGTAGTGTAGCAGTGGTACTTTCTGAATTACCATTATTTTTTTTTAGAGCATTTGATTGTGGGGAGTATAGAAATGAATTTAAAGGGAAAGCACTCATTACTTCTTTAAGTTGTTTCCGGTGAGACAAATATATTATTTTAAAATAGAGCATGGGAGTTATTACCTGATTTCGATTTGATGCCGATAATTGATGGTGGAGGCGCAAAATAATTTCAATGCTATTCCTTGACTTTTTGCATCGTTAATGACGATATATGTACATGTTTTTACTGTCTGTTGTCTCTACTGATATTTGATATTTTCTATACAGGATGGGAGATTAAATGGAAACACACCTGCGAAAGTTACAATAATAATA